TTTAGATTTAAAGGTCGCTAATGAACGATTTTTAAAGCAAATTTTCGATTTTTCTTAATACATGTTTGATTTGATGCAAAAGTGGCATAATTCGGATTTGAACTGTGGTTTCTTTGGTCGCTGAACACGACGCAATAATTCATTTAGTTCTACGATATACGCTTTAAAAAATACAGCTCGATTAATGTGAAAAAATGACCGAATTTTGAATTCAAGGTCGATTTTATTAAGGTTGCAAGTGTTCAGATAGGTCATTACTCCCCTCAAATTGTAGGTCATGTAAAGCAGAGAAATAATTACTGACTTTAACTGTTAATAACTTCTTAATCAATAACGATTTAAAACTTGTTGGAGATTACTCATGACCTTGACAATATATGATCAAGGTCATCGAGGCTGGCTCCTTATCTCCATAAGTGCCGAAATAAATTACATATTTTAAATAAGGACAAAAATAGGAATGGAATTTCAATGGAATCATAATTGGTGATATAAATAATTCATAACATATTATCGAAACTTTTAATAATAATACAAATAAATTTCCACTTACGTATGTCTTGTAAATTCTCGTATTAAATCTTAGGAATTATTCCAACATTCGCTCTGTTCTATTTTGAACATGATGGTGAGATCTAACGATTATATCTCACTGATTGAAGTAATTACTTCAATACAAAACGACGTATTTCATATGATTATACATGTTTAGAAATATTTATGTATGTTTTTATACATATTTATACATATTCATGCATGAAAAATTTTTTAATGGGTAATTATTGAGACTTTCATAACTAAAGGCAGGATTACTGTTAAATGCAAAAGACAACTCATATATATCTCACATTATTACATCTTTATTATTAGGTGTCTTTAAATTTCATTAATTTAACGTCATGATTTGTATGATAATTATTGAAAATAGTGAAGCACGCACGCATGCACGCACGCACGCACGTACGCACACACGCACACTCGCACACTCACACATACACACACTCACACATACATACACACAAATCGCGACATTAAATTAATGAAATTTAAAAACACGTAATAACACGAGATATTTAAGAGTTGCCTTTTGCAATTAATAGTGGTCCTGACTTTAGCAATTAATAAATGTCTCAGTGATTACTCGGTAAAAAATTTTTTACGCATGAATCCAGATAGCACAAAATACTAAAAGATAACAAAAAGATGTTATAAGATGTAAAGGATCTTACATAAACATCTTACAGATATCTTTTCGTTATCTTTTAGTATTTTGTGCTGGGAATATGTATAAATATGTATAAATACATATAAATGTTCATAAACATGTATAATCCACAGACTTCTATAAGTCTGTGGTATAATCATACATGAAATATGTACACTCTGTTTTGTTTTGAAGTAATTATTTCAATCAGATAAGAAAATCTGGCGATTATATCTCATTTCAATCTTATTTCAATGAAATACAACCGTCAGATTTTCCCATGATGTTCAAAACAGAACATAGTGAATGTTACATGAACAATTCGAAAAGTTTAATACGAAAATTTGCTAGACTTAATGCGTAAATGTGTTCTCCGGAAATTTATTTGTATCATTATCAAACTTTTCGATAAAATATTATTAATTAATTGGATCACCAATTACGGTGTCATTGAAATGTCACTCCTATTTTTGTCCTTATTTGATATATGTCATTTATTTCAATTAATTAAATCATATTTTTTTGTATTATGTAGGGTATTCGAGCATAAGGGCAAATTGGTCAAATGCAAATATCTAAATAACCAAAATATATATAAATATGTCTATGCTTGCGTAATGTAGCACAAAGACAGAGATTACTGTGCCTTAATACAATAATCTGTGTCCGGCTGTCAACAGCCAAATACGTGCGCTTTTTCGTTTTCGTATATCAAAAATAAAGTTATTAGGTGAGTATTCTTTTTGGTCTACATGGTAATTAAAACGATTAATAACAATCAAATATGTTTTTTGGATTTAAGTTATTATTGTATTTTTTAACTTTAATATTCAAGTTGCTATTTTATTTACGGTTTTTCAGTTATAAAAAATTATAATTCAATCGACACCGATATGGTGCTTGTTGAGCCAGTAACTAACCTTATGAATTCAGCTGCTTAAATGAAATCTGTCTTTATCAATGCTTTTTATTCTATGTTAACGATTAAACATATATTTTACGGTTAATTATTATTATAAAGAGTAAAGATTTTAGTTTTTCTAATTTTGTTAATTAAAGCATTTAAAAAGAAAGAATATTAACAATTATTATACTTAAGATGAAAATAATAAAAATTTGATTAATATACATATAATCCTTTCATGTTTTTAATAATATATGACCTTTTTATAATATATATCCTTTAAACGATTATTTTCATGGCTCAACTTATCCTTCGAGGATGCTTGACATGCACCATAAGTGGGGCATATTAGTCCACTTTGCATCCTTGTAATGGACATAATTTTTTTCTTATTTACGGGATATGTTAAGAATTTGTAAGTACTTAATTATTGAGCCAAATGAACATGTAACGTTTTAAAGCATTTTTATCATCAGTTTAGCATAATTGTGTGAAAATTTATAATAATTTAAAGAAAAAGTATCACGACTAGACCCGCTCTACGTATCATTTTCTAATAAAGAGTTTTTTATTGTCAAATTGACTGTTTAACTTTGACTGTTAATAACTTTCTAACGAATAATGAGCGATGGCTAAAACTTGTTGGAGGTTACTCAGGGTCATGACCTTGACAACATATGTGAAGATTAAGGTCATCGGGGCAAGCTCCCTCACCTACATATTTACCATTGAGGATTTGATTTGAGGATGTCAAAACCACAAAGCGATATACTTTAGGACTTGTAAAAAAATTCTTTCTATGCTTAAAAACGTTTTATAATCCAGTTAAATGCAACTTTTAAAGACCTTGTAGGAGGTCCAGGGAAAATTTCAACTGGATATTGGTCTGGATAAACAGATCTACAATTTGAGGGGAATAACGACTCATTTGAACGCTTGGAATCTTGTTAAAATTGACCTTGAACTCGAAATTTGGTCTTTTTTCACATTAATTGAGTATTTTTAAAGAAATATATTGTAGAACTAAATGAATTATTGCATCGTGTTCAGCGACCAAAGAAACATACAATACCGCATTTCAAATCCGGATTAAGCCATTTTTGCATCAAATCAAACATGTATTAAAGAAAATCGAATTTTTTTTTTATTTAAAAATTTACTAGCGAGTTCTAAATCTGAATATTTTTTAATAAAAATTTAAGGGCTATAGACAGAGTGAAAGAGGTTCTTTGGGAATTTTTTTTTTAATTTATAATAAAGTCAGGTAATTTTATTTTAAGGTGTCTTTATTCTAACAGTACTGAAGTACGTAAAAAAATTTTTTTTGTCTCGGTTACTAGAATTAAGGCTGCTGTACAAAAAGTAACCGTGAACACTTACTTTTGCTTCGTTGACAATGAATCGACCATATTCACTGTCTGAAACAAAAAAATAAAAAATTATGATAGTAAAAAATGAATATAGCCGGACGTAGAGAAATTACGAAATCGCAAAGAGTAACAAAATGGCGGGCATGTGAACCTTTTTTTTTAATTTGGCCTTATTTTTGTTACCAAAGTTGAATAAAATTGTAAAATTTTTATTAATTAAAAAACAGCTATGTCCGGCGATAAACGTAAGTTTTCTGAATAAAATGCAATTTACACCAAGTCAATAGGTCGAGTACATTTTTCGATTTGCTGTCAACCGGGTTGAATAAAATGATTTTGATAAAAATGTTTGAAGTTTTATTTTCAGATTAATATATGTCAACTGCACATTAAATTAAAAATTTAAGTTACTCTTATTCGGCAATCCCTGGACCATATAATAGCTCTTCCGCATCTAAAAACGCTTCTTCATCGACGCCAGAAGCAGTTCTAGCACTTAGGCGACTTTCGTGCGTGTTAGCATAAGCCTGTCGATCAGCGATATACACGCGTTTTTCGTCTATACAGGGTGTTTCCAAATTAAATGGCAAAACTTCGGGAGCGTGTAGAGGAGTAAAAAACTAAGAAAAAAAGTCCTATAGACATATGCTCGTTTTTGCTCCGTTTCAGAGAAATCGAAAAAAAATGTTTACATTTCTTGCCATATCTAGCACCGACATATTTGATTACATTTTCCACTTTCTGTTATGAATTTGTCAGTCGCTCTTTGAAAGCCTTTAACAGTAGATGAATTTTGTCTTTTGCAATATGCCGCGTACGTATTCTAATAGTGAATATGCTGATATGGTTTTTGTATACGGTTTCTGCAACGGTAATGCTTTAAAGGCGGTGCGAGAATATGCACGACGATTTCCAAACAGAAGAGTGCCAAACCGAAGAGTGTTTATGTTGACATTTAATAGATTGCGAGAGACTGGATCATTTTCAATTCGACAAGAAAACAACCGATTTCA